GATATCCTCTTATTAGGAATAATCGGCGAGGTGTTCTAAGTTAAAGAAGGAGTAAAATTTCGGTACATGGTTCACATACTATGGAGGGTTATTTCTGCCAAAATTACATCTTGCTTTCTTACGTTACATCGTGCTTTCTAACTTGTACATTATCATTCTGACATATACATCTTGCATTCTGACTTTTACATGTTGCCTTCTTACATGCACATTATGCTCTCTGCTGTGTGCGACTTGCTTAATTTTATGTTGATGTCGTTATTTAACGATCAATTATTATTCATTTGTTGATCTGGTATATTAATTCAATAAATTAACCTGCAACTGTTTGTGTTTGGGTCTATTAACTCAGCTTGAATGACGAATATCATAAGGTAGAATGCGCATAGCCGAAAGCCGAATGCAGCAAGCATAATACAACGCGACATCTGGTGTAATAATATGTGACACCCAAATTATGCTAACAGGTGGCGCTACAGTTATATTCTCGGTAAAGTCCGTATTGCGGTTCGGATTCAGTTTACCAAGTTACGTCCCTTTGTTTTAAAATTTCCATTTGCACTCATGGAGAAAATATACAAAACGATTTAACCAATTTTTATATTAATTAATGAAACTCTGTAGGTCAAATTATATTTCCAGCTGACAATGACAAGTTGCACATTTCCAAATCAATGATTTTAGAATTATTTTTTTTCATCAACAAAATAATTATAAAATAGAACTCGGTTTGATTGAGTCTATACATAAGGGATAATGAATATGCAATATCCCTCACGCCCACTAGCACCGGCTAAAGGCTAAAGCTGAACTCAATTCTCAACATTTAATAGTGCTGGCATCAATGATCCAGAAGGACCATAAAAATATAACAACACTGAAGTGATGAACGGGGCAACCTTTTACAGCTGCCACACAGCACTTGACACCTGCTGTTGTGAAGTATAAAATCTGGAAACAAAGTGATCCCCCGGAAGCATATTAAAAAGCCGACCAATTTATTTACATATATTATAGTGTCATGGAGTCAGTATGATAAGAATGGTTAATGTCATTGACTTCAAACCTTGCCTCTCACAACTGTAGGTTCGAGTCGCGTCAGGGTATTTGGATTTTTCATGTGAGAATGTTAGCTTACGGAACGTTGGTAGTTCTACTCCGGTGCCCGTTTGTGTCTGAAATAATTTACATAGGGACATCCGAGGTCTTCATCCATCAGTAAAGCTTGAAAGTCTCCTTATGATCTGTACTGTGTTGGTGCCACGTAATTCCCAAACCCTCCGAGAAAAAGTATGTTAAGAAGATCATTCAAGCGATAAATGATAAAATACGATATCCTAAAACATGCTATTCATGTTCCTTATCAGATAATACCGGACTTTTATCTTGGATATTTCGTAAACATTAAAGGATTGCGTAAAAGAAGATGTACGCTTATTTTTCTATTTTATTTAAATTATATGTTTGAACATTTTTGTATGTACATGTAAGCATGCGGAAGAGGTTAACTGAAAAATGATTTTTTTTCAAAATTCAAATTAAAACTATGATTACCATAGCAACAAAGTCTCATAGCATATTCAAATGAAGGTTGTATCCGTATTACTGGTAAAAAAGATGTAAACTGAATAGATTTACCAGGCATGCAAGCATTTAAGGCCAATCTATCATGATATGATGTGCTTTTTGTAACAATAGATTGACATAATACATTGCTACTCTGACTCAATATAAGGATGGATCCATATAATCTGTTCATAATATATTGTTAATCGACTCTATATAAGGATGGTTCGACATAGTATATTTACGAAAGCACATCATATAAGGACACATGTACATCATATATTGTTACATTGACTCTATATAAAGACAATTCTACATAATATAGTGTTATTTTGACTATTTTGACTCATTGCACATCATATAATGAAAGACTGACTTATACAAGGAAAAACTGACATAATATACTGTTATTTTGACTCTATATAAAGATGAATCCACATTATTTATTTATAATTATTTATTTATTTATTAAATCACATCGTATAATGAATGATTGGCATCATATAATGACACATTGACAGGTGACTCTTTAATCTAAATCAGGATGATTCTGCATATTTTACTGGTATTTGGAAGGGTTTTACATAATTTATTGAAAATTGTATATCGTATATTGATAGATTGACATAATAGAGGAAGACATTGACATCATATATTGTTAACTCTATATAATAACTAGTCCATATAATATATGCATAACTTAACATCTAATAATGACAGACTGACATCATTTAAGGACAGATTGACATAATGTATTGCTTTTTTTTCCTTATATAAGGATGGTTCCACATAATGTATTCAAAAATTCGCATCGTATCATGATAGATTGACATCATATAAAGACACATTGACATCATATATTGTTCAGTTGCATTCATGTACAGATACTTCCGCAGTTCATTCATGAGTGCACATTGAATAAAGAAAAATTGACTCAATATATTGTTATTTGGACACAATAACATTCAGTTTTATAATTATAAGACAGTCAAGGCTTTCCATACATAAGAGTGTGTTGAATAAAGTACTCATATATCACTGTTCGAACATAAGCACATGCAAAGCAGAGTGAGATGAGATATATAAATTCATAAACCTCTTCACTTACACCAATAACCATGCAAAGACATACACAGTGAGATTGAGATAAGTGATACACTTATATACCACTACTCACACATTAAAAACAACTTTTAGCAGTTGCACAGTCATAAATCTGTATCTTCTTGATTTTGTACATCAAATATTATATACTCCAAGTAGACTTGTTAATAACAGGAATGGACTGATACATGACCATTAAGCCGCTATTCTATTGGTACGCGATCCGTAATCCGCGTCAGTGGTGCGCGTCCGGGGCATGTCCGTGAGTATTATTTCATAGGTACATATATTCCATATACTTTTATAGTATAGCAAACAGAGAATAATTATTTGAAGAATGTGAAACAATTTCCTCCTTATATCAAAACACTTGTATCATCAAAAAACTAAGATAGAAAGAAAAAGGAACAAACATTAAATATCAGTAAGGTCTGTTTACAGTCTGAATTGTCATTTTTAAATTACTTGATTCTGGGAATCTCATTGATCATTTTAAATTAAAATGTGGATTAACTAAGATGTTTTTAAAGAGTGCAAGAGGTCGATCAAGGACGCGCTCGCGCTTTTATATTTTACGATACTGGAATGGCAGAAAAGCTCTGCAAGACTCGTTGAAAACTGGAAGGCTGCTGTTTCGCGATTCCACAATAAAATATTGTATTTGCCAAATTAAAATTAAACTTGCATGTACATAACTCAAAGCTGTATTAAATTAATCTTTATACAAAGTTAAAAATAATGATAGAAAAAGTATAAATGTGACTTCATGCCTGAATGATATGTTTACCGACTCCGGAAGGTATTTCATGAACGGAATGTTGTAAACTTCAACAATTTAACCAAGGCACCCGCGAATCCGAAGAAAAGCGATACATATTAATTGCACAAACAAAACAGAATTGCTCAGTGTTAGCCGCATCTAATTACAACCTGTGTATATTCAGTAAACGGTTATTGATTGAATTAAACCTGCATTGTAAAGAAGAACCAAGTAAATACGATATTATCTCTGTGATTTACAGCTTGCATAACATAGTTTCGGATAGGGCTGGATTTGGATTGTATAAGATAGTTGATCAAAAACTCTTGTCTTGGTGATGATATCGTGATCCCAACAATATGGCTTGCTATTTGCAAGTTATTTATGTTCAAATATTTATAGACAGAACATACATGTAAGATTGAAACAGTGTTTATGAAATAGGTATTTTTGTTTTAACTTTAAATAGACACAATGTTATCGATGTCGTATATGGTTCGATGTAAGTTATGGTTACAGATTTTATATACATGTATTAAACATTATGCTATTACTTGTTACAAAGTTGTTAACATTTTACCATAACTCCATGATTTACAGTTACTGCCTATCGTAAGCCAAGAGACTATTCTTATAAACTTATTGTTTATTTTTTCAGAGGTAAATAGGAGATATGGCTGAAAAGGCGAATGATGAAGTTAAAAATATTCCAAGCGAAGCGATAGCAAAATTTGCCAACATTACCCAAATTTTTGGACCGGTGAGAATTTAAAAATTTCATAATTGAAAAGGGTTTTTTAAGTCTGGTTTGGTTATATAATCTTAAAAACCCTGAATTAATCAAATTTCATTATGAACTTGTCATAAACTCTTTTTAAAAAAACCTAAAAAATTAAATGCCCCAAAAAAAAGGGAAATGAAAAAAAGGGGAAAAATAGAAAAAAAAAGGAAAAAAAACTTTCCCTTTTCCCACTATGTAAAAGCCCCCTTCTAATTTAAATTGTTTAAATAAAAAAATTCAATTTAAAAAAAAAAATTTAAAAAAAAAATAAAATTTTACCCGGTTAGGGAAAAAAATTAATTTTGTTTTAAAACCTTTTTTAAAAAAATTTAATAGCAAAAAAAATTGGGGAAAAGGGCCCAAATTTAAAATTTTCGTAAACTATTGCTATTAGAAAAATTTTTTAAATTACTTTATTGAAAATGGGCCAGGGTTTGTACTTGTGGTACAACATTAGAACATAATCATTAGATACTTGAACTTGTAACACTAATGAACAAAATCATACCCAATTGCTTTATTCTATCAAGGAACATAATCTAATTGTAAAGAAAGTTCTATGGCGTTTTTGTTTATCTTTTTTTAGACATATATTGTGGAAAAATGCAAGGCAAAAGTATATAAAAAACAAGGCGAAAGGGTATCTTGCATATCATGATGCAAACATTAGATAGTAAAAACAAGGTAAAACGCTGATATTTAATTATGTAGATACAATGTACTGATAATTCCATGCATTTGCCAACAAAATGCTAAAATATTACTTGATTTGTTGTTGATACTTTTGCAGAAAAGAAGAAAAGAAAAGAGGATCTGCACAAAACGATCCTTTCAGAAATGCCAGAAGCGATTGAATTACGCATGCCAGAACTCAGTAAGACTTTATAAGCATTTTGTTTGGTTTTAGCATAGTATCGTAGGTGCGAATATATAAACTTTATTGTTCTGCCAGCTGTATACCATTTACTAAAGGGAACCTTACAACATATCATTTGACGAGATAAGAATACTACAAAAAGTAAATCCCTGTATCTATTTGTGTAAATTTAAATAAATAAATAGAAACACATGCTATCATTTTTGAGATACTAGTTATCATGTTGGGTAACGAGTATCAATCGAACAATGTGGAAGCTATGGAATTGTTAATATTTTGTTTTAAGAACTAGTAAGAAGTTTAACATTCAACCGGTAACATTTAAAAAAAAAAATTTATGCTGAAGATAGATAAGTCCACAAAAGCTTAAATATATTGACAATGGCATATCAATATTGCAATATTTCACAATTCCGGTAGCACGTAATTAATATCATTGTACCTTCAAGTATTAGAGAATTTGTTTGCTATAAAGTTTTGACTGATAATACTATCATCAATATGTTGTGTCCTATATCGCTCACATTAAACCACTCATAGTTTGAGTGATATAGCTTTTCTTAAATATATGTATATGTTGGTATGTGTAATAATTTTTCGTTAGCAAAATTAATTATTATTGAATGTTATTTTTACGTTCTCTTACTTTTAATCACTTAATTTTATTCGATGAATTATCATTACGTACAGATATGTATAAGGTACACTGCAAAGATGCTATAAAATTATATCGTGTAACGTGATGACAAATGTTAAATGATATAAATAAGTATTAAATGATTTTACTTTATGCTTTTCATTGGATTACTGATTTATCTGTGAAAAATATATTTGATAATTTCACAGTGAAAATTATCAAAATATAATTTCACACTTTTCAATGACGAAACTATTTTTTTAAGATTTTCCCCACGTGGTACCTCAATTTTATTTTTGCTGACAATTCTGACATTGTCATGATGTTTAAAGAAAAGCCAAGCTGAAATTGATAAATAACTTTTATGTCAAAAGTAATAAAAAGAAGAAAACTTACTTCTATTCATTCAAATTCCAATCACCAAATTTCGTGTCTAATTTTTTTTGTTTCATTTTGACAGTCTAAAAAAGTACATTCCTTCCACATGCAAAAATGATCTTGATGACATTTGGCAAATTAAAGTATCTTACGAGCAATAACTGCCGTATGCTTTATGAAAACTTGAAAAGCAAGAAAGCCCGTAGAATAAGTAAACAACCCAGCATATCAAGAAGCAGGATGGGATTGCTACTTATGTGTCTGTTATCAAGGTCAAAGTCATCAGGTTACTAAAAATACAAATTCAGTTTCTGCTCAAATCTTAAGTTTGCTTTGGCATATTGACACCAAACTTGGTGAATGGATAGCTTATATTAAGAGGCAGCTTGGTATTGTCTGTGATCAAGGTCAATGTCACTGGTTCTAAAAAAAGAAATTCAGTTTCCACTCAATTACTTGAGTTTGCTTTGGCATATTGACACCAAACTTTCTGTATGGATAGGTTATATCAAGAGGCAGCTTGGAATTGCTACCCAGGTGTCAATGGTTAAGGTCAATGTCACTGTTACTTTCATTGTTGAAATAGGAGTTCAGTTTCCGCTCAATAACTTGAGTTTGCTGTGGCATATTGACACTAAACTTGATGTATAGGTAGCTTATATCAAGATGCAGCTTGGGATTGCATCCCAGTTGTCTGTGATCAAGGTTAATGTATTCAGTTTTCACGAAAAACTTGAGTTTGCTTTGACCTTTTGACACCAAACTTGCTGTGTGGCATCTTAAGATTGCCACTTAGATATCTGGGTGCAAGGTCAAGGTCATTTGCTATAGGATTTTCAGCATCTACTCAATAACTTTAATGCACTTAAACATATTTATTGCTGTCACGTTGAAAATTTGGTTTTCGTCGCATTGCGGCGCTTCTTGTTTTAAATTCCTTACCGAAACTAACCATTACTCCATACAACACAAGCATTCCATTTCAGTCACACGCGTAATATGAAAACTGTTTCACACTGATCTGAAGGCTATATGATGAAATCACAAAGTTTTGCGATTATAATTGTTCTTAGAACATCCATATAAATTTAGAAATATAGCTTAAATCTGACCGTTATGGTTCATACTATTAAAAATATTTATCTGCTGCCTGTAGCTTACAAAGTTATCGTAAAAAATTGTGAAAATAGTTATACTTCCAAAATATTTGTATGAAAGAAATATGTTTGTATACCGTCTTGTGTATACCGAATTGAGTATGCAATAAATCATTGCTAAACGTTTAAAACCTACCAAAAACAGTTTTGTATTTTGTTCGGGAAAATATCATTCTTTTCAAGTGCATATTAGTATGCATGAAATAACAGAGACTATCTAGGTCACACCTATTTTGAGAGCTGACCATAAGCTTATGAAAATAATGTAATTTTACCAAGTTTTAATTTTATCATTATATTGTAGTATGTTTTTTAATTTATACATCAGTATGATTTCTTAAACAAACGGTCATTGTTGGAATTTACAAATTCTAAAGGTCATTTCAAGGGCATATAACTCTTACATAAGTCTTTTAACCGTTTGTATTATTAAGTCAAAATTTCATGAATCATTTAGCGTAGACTGAAAATTCTTAAAAAAGTAGGCTATATTTTTAGAAATTAAATTTATCTATATTTATAACCGGATAAACGATGACTTTGAAATCTTAACATATTCTAACTCCAGATATTTTAACAAAGACACACTAGCCTATTATGATGTGTTGACTTTAGTTATAATGCCCTGCTTTTCTAGAAGGTTTAAGTATTATTTTACTACCAGTATTTATGAATATGGTACTGATCAAACCTTTACGAATTTCGATGATTTAGAAACACTTTACTGTCACAATTGACAGCGTTTGTTTAATTGCTTTAGCTCTTCCCGATAAGGTGAGAAAATATTTATTCAGCGCGCCACATCATAACAAATAAAAGTACCTGTGTTGGTTGGTAGCAACTGAATTAAAATGTTTATTTTTTGAGGAACGGAATTTACATTGAAGTAAAAAAGCAACATTATTCACTATCAGGTCGTGAAAAAATGCACAAATACTTGAAATTAAGTCGGTTACATGGAAATCAGGACAATATGGCCTTGCTAACCTTAATAATTTATTAAGCAAATTTTCATATTGATGGGAAGAAAATATAAAACAAGACCTGTGATATTTATTGTTTCTATTTGCCTTAAATTGTTTCTATAATTTTTTTTATGCAAACTTTTCATAAATTCGATTGAATAGTTTTCATTGTGCTATATGTCTATATGTAAACTTAGCATACAACTTTAAGCACACAATCTTGAAATTACGGATACGTTTCTGCTTAATAACTTCGACTTAATAAGTATTAACACAGAAATGGATAAAAGTTTCAACAAAATAAGCAAATCGTCAGATTGATCGGCAGATGACTATGAAACAAGCCGGTGATATTTATTTTTTATTTGCTTAAAATTGTTTCTATCGTTATTTTGTAACGCAAAAATTATTTGAATTCTATTTAATAGTTTTTATTCTGCTATATGTCTATATGTTAACTTAACACACAGTCTTGAAATTATGGATACATATCTGCTTTTTAACTTTGACTTTATATGTATTAACAAAGCAATGGATAACAGTTTTAAATTATAATTTCAATCTCTAAGCTTCGGAAGGAACTATATCATTCGCACAACCGGCATCATTGCTGACCAAGTGTCAAAGATGTTTACACATAACATTTGAAAACGGTATTTACTTAAACGAAGTGTACTGCATAAACATGTAATGGCAATGTGTTCAGATACCGTTAAATATAAGAATAACTTTAAAGCAATCATAACAATAATAAATACATACTACATTTTAACTGGTAAAAACTGCTATGATTATTATAACTTAGAAAAGTTTTCATCGGCGCTTAACAGCTAAATGTTTGGCGAAATCATCTTTTCTATCTATTATACAGTTGGAAAATAATATTTGGACAGTTACACTGGTTAATATTACTTTGAAGTTAATACTTTGAAAATAAGAAAGAACAATCATGATATATTACAGTTAATGTATTTAATTTTCATGTTCATTAGCTTACAAATATATATTATTTTTTTCATGTTTAATTATTTCAGAATCGGGGATTTTTGATTGTAGAATTAAGTTTTTTTTTCTAAGAGTTCTTTCAAATGCGGCCTGGTAGAATTTTGGTTTCATTATGAATTTTTGCTATCAAGTTTATTATGGGAAAGGAGAACAAATTTGATGATGATATCACAATAGCAAAAGACGCATAAATATAATGAAAGGCAACGTTTATTAAAGCCGAACATTACTGGCTTTTTCGTTTTTGGCTTGAAACAACTTTACCGTATAATCTAATTATATGTAACATTACAGTGTATCTAAGGATTCAAAATATAAACATATAAACAATCATTAAAACAATGATAACAGCAATAAATACATACTAGATTTTAATTGGAAAGAAATGTTGCTTTTTCATTTTGTTTAACAGAATCAATCAATTCATTACGACACTTAAGAATTTTGTTGTTTTCACTGCTTCTGTGGGATCCACCCTTTTCTATATTTTTATACTTCAAAAGCAAGTGGCGTATGTCGTTTGACAAATGTAAAAGGTTTCCGACATTCATATCAGTGTCATCATATTGATTCCAGCACATTTAGTGTTTAAAATTGAATACCGATTGTGCTAGGGATCATAAGAGATGTTGCACATTAACATTATCTTTATCAACAAACTCAATTAAACACAATCTGTAGTTTTCATATTTTTTGTTGCTTTCATTGCTGCCGAGGAATCTCCCTCTTTTCCTGGTTTACCCTTTTAATTGTTGGATAACTAAATATGAAAACCTTATGCATTACTATTTCCAAAGTGTTTTCTTTCATGTCTTTTAAACAAGGTTAGCAAAGAATTGTAAACAAACAACACCATATTCTAAATTTTCCTTTATTGAATCAAATTATTATTACGACACATTTATGACACTCAACAAGACCAAGATCGACTTGAGATACAATTTTAGGACATAAGTATCAAATATATAACAAGGTTTAATATTGCTTCACATTTATGAAGAAATTAGAAAGATATTATCCAATCAGGTTACATAATGCATTATTTCAAACATAGTTTTGTTTCTTTAACGCATGTATCTATTTTATAATGAAAATTGAATATCTTAATTTACGGTAACAAAATATTTAAATGGTATTTTTTTTGACATTCACATGTTTTACTTATTCGCCGATATAATACAAGCCAAAATAGTCAAATTTCTTCCTGACTAGATGTAAATACTTTTTTCAGTGGATATAAAGACGGATAGGTTCACAAACATCTATTGAATGCCAAAAGAAAATAAGCTTGATATTTTCAAAATATTCAGCAGAAATGAATAATAAATAATAATATAATTTTCAAAATGATAATTAAACACAAACTTAATATGGATATGCTTTGAATTAGTGAAAACGCAGCAATAAATTGACAAATGATTCATAGAATGTTTAATCGGCGCTTAACAGCTGAATGTTTGACGAAATCATCTTTTCTATCTATTATACAATTTAAACAAAAATATTTGGACAGTTACACTGGTTAAATATTACCTTAAAGTTAAGACTTTGAAAATAAGAAAAACAATCATAATACATTACAGTTAATGTATTTTAATTTCATTTTCATCTGCTAACAATTATAAAGAATATTTATTTCATTTTTAGTTATTTCAGAATCGGAGTCTAGCGAATTTGGTAAGAATAACTTATATTCTTATATTTTTGTAGAAGCATAAAGTGTTCTTAGAAATTCGCCCTGGTAGAATTTGTGTTCTACCATGAATGAAAGCTATCAAGTTAATTATGAGAACGGAGAACAAAGTCGATAATGACACCCCAATAGCAAAGGATGCAGAAATATAATGCAAGGCAACGTTTATTAAAGCCGAAGTTCACTGCCTATTTCGTTTCGGCTTGAAACAACTTTACCGTATAATCTTTATTATTTAATGTAGCAATACAGCGTTTCAAAAGATCCAAAATATTAACATATATACAATCTGTGGGATTCGCCCTTTTCTATATTTTTATACTTCAAAAGCAAGTGGCATGTGTCTTTTGACAAATGTAAAAAGTTTCCCGCATTCATTTCAGTGCCTTTATATTGATTCAAGCATATTTAGTGTTGGAAATTGAATACTGATTAAATTTGATGTAGGGGTCATAAGATTTGTTGCACTTTAACATTATATCTTATGAACAGACTCAATTCAACGATGTCTGCAGTTGTCATATTATTTTGTTGCTTTCATTTCTTCCGAGGAATCTCCCTTTTTTCCTGGTTTATCCTTTGAATTTTTGGATAACTTAATATGAAAACCTTATGCATTACTTTTCCAAATTGTTTTCTTTCCAGTCTTTTACATGTTTTAAACAAGTTAAGCAAAGAATTGTAAAGAAACAACACAATATTCTTAATATTCCTTATTGAATCAAAATATTATAACAACAACTATATTTCATCCAACAAGAACAAAATCGACTTGAAATACCATTTTAGATCATAAGTATCAGATACATAACAAGGTTTCAAATTGCTAAACAGTTTTGATGAAATTAAAGATATATTATCCAATCAGGTAACATAATGCATTTTTTCTTGCATACTTTTTCTCTTAACGCCTATATCTACTTTATAATAAAATGAGAGTATCACTAATTACGAAAACAAAATAGCTAAATGTTGAATTTGTATGAAATGCACATGTTTTACTCATTCGCCGAAATAATACATGCAAAAATAGCAAAGCTTGCTATTTTCAAAAAAAATATCGTATCATTACTAACAAAACTAAAATAGCTAAAAATGCGCTGCTATGATAATTATGACTTTAATTTGCAAAATTTTTATCCGCGCTTAACAGCTGATTGTTTGACGAAATCATCTTTTATATCTATTATACAATTTTGAACAGTTATACTGGTTAATTATTAACTTGAAGTTAAAACTTTGGAAATAAGATAAATAATCATATTACATAACAGTTACTGTATTTAAATTTCATTTTCATCTGCTTACAATTATATATATTATTTATTTTATTTTTATTTATTTCAGAATTGGACTCTATCGAAGATGGTAAGAAATAAACTGTATTTTTGTAGAATCATAAAGTTTTTTTCTAAGTGTTCTTATAAATTCGACCTGGAAGAATTTGTGTTCAACTATGAATGATAATAATTGATGTCAAGTTAATTTTGAGAAAGGAGAACAAAGTTGATTATGATATCACAATAGGAAAAGACGCAGAAATATAGTAGTAGCACCGACTATTTCTGATTAACCGTTAATTCGAGTTAATCCAGAAATTGCACAGTTATATTCACATTACACATACATGACTGATAAGAATCTCCTACTAGCCAAACATCATCAATGAAAGAAACAGTAACATAACCTAGTGCCCTAAAATAAACGAACACTGGTTCCAGTATCTTTGTGAAAATTCGAGGGCTGGATTGATACCCCATAACCAATGCTGTAAATTGACATTTCATATAATTCAAGAAGAATCGGAAATAACGCTGGTTTTCTATTTTTTATGGAGTTAAAACCATCTGATAGGTCAACTGATGCCATAAAATAATCTTTTCTGCAGATCTGAGAGATTCTATTTTAAATTGATGTTTTTCTAGATATATAACTCTTTGAAATGTTTTAGGTTCAAAATTATTTTTATACGATCATCTTTTGTAGGTCTTATAAAAATGTTTTATATGAATTCATTATCTAAATAATCTTTCACCTTCTATATGACTCCAATTTTAGCTCGACTATACGAAGTATATGGAGAGCTGTCCTACTTGCCCGGCGTCTGTATCCGTGTCCAGATTTCATGTTAAAGTTTTGTTGCAATAATTATTTTCCACTTTAACTTTTTCATTTCTTAAGACATCAACTTCAAACTTCAAAAATGTGTTTTTATCATCAACCACATCTTATGTGACAAGGTTTTTATTTGAAGCACCAATATTTTCAGATTTATCTCCCATTAAACTTAGAATTTTCCTTAAAAAATATTAGTTTTTACTGTTCCTTTTTTTTTATTTCTTAAGCGTTCAACTATATACTTTAAATTTATGTTCCTTATCATTTTCCACATCTTATGTGACAAGATTCTAATATAAGAATAATTATCTCCCCATGAACACTTTGTTACTTGAAAATGTTGTTTTTTACTATAACTTCTTCTTTCTACCCAAAACTTCCAATTCATATTCCCTATCATCAACCACTTCTTAATTGACAAGGTCCATTACTTTGCAAGCAATTCCTTTTAAGATTTATCTCCCTTTGAACTTAGAAATATTATAACCCTGTACTTTTTAAGGTATCTACTTCAAACTTCAAATATATATTTCTTGTCATTACACACATGTTCATAACTCTAGTGTGGCTATTTCCAGAATTATTTCCCCTTCAACTTTGAATTGATAAAAACAAACGTTACTATAACTTCTTGTCATATGGATAAGAGTTATAAAACGCAAGCACCTGTATTTCCAGAATAAAATCCATTTAATTTTTGAACTTAGAATTCATTTATAAATCGATTTTTAGTATTATTTTTGTTGTTATTAATAGTATCTACTCTAGACCTAAGATAAATAATTGTTCTTTGTCATTACTCACATAATGAGTGACAATGTTCATGACTGTAGCATCATTTTTCAAGAGTTATTTGCTCTTTGAACTTATAATTTTACTTTAAAACCTTCAATTGTTTTGCTTTTATCATTTGTTTTGAAGGGATTGACTTCAGATTTCAAATTGCTGTCTTGTCCATTAAGGCATAGAAATGTTTGTTTAACATGTATTTACAAGACCATATGCATATTATGTTGTGCAAAAATACAGAGCATTTGAGTGCTTTCTTGATACTGATAGAGCGATATATTTATATCATAATTGATGTTTCTTTCATAGATTGTCTTCCTTACTGCGTTCAGTATTTTATTAGCCTGGCTTTGGTGTCTCGTGTGACAGTTCTTGTTAAAAATCTATTAAGTTCATTCTCAATCCCTCTTTTTTCTCTGAAGTAACGTTAATAGGTTAGGAATAATTGCTTCGGAATTTCATTTTATTCAACTGAACAACCTCGGATGTTTTTTAAAATCCATTTGTCAGTTGTAATGCTTTTCCATATGCTAATATTATCAGGTATCTTACAAGCATGGACAATTTCTGTTATGTTTTGGACACCTATATTAATTTTATAATTGTACTAACATTTAATATTCCCTCCCCATTTCCCCTTCTTTGGTTGATTTTGCTGGGGATGCTGTGTTGTATTCCAATTTAGTTTGTTGTTTCATGGAGGGTAGGCCGGTGTGCTTTGGATACGCTGGTATTGAATGAAGTTGTTGATCCCCCTTCCCATTTTTCGATAAAAAAGTTGACTGGTAGATGTTAGGTTAGTTTTTACTCTTTAAGATGTTTTATTTCTTCATGAAGTTTAACCCCAAAAGTTTGGTTGTTGATGAAGGTTGGCTACACCATGGTATGTATAATGGCAAAAGATATTCCGTGAGCTCCGAAATCTTATCACCTTCATAAGAGGATATCGTTTGGTTCCCCATTTTGGCTAGCCTTGAAAAAAAGTTTTGATGCGCACGTGAATCTTACTTGTCTTCATCATTTCCGTCCTCTCGCTCTGCCAAGTGTGTCCAAGATAAAATGCTTGCTAGGAATTTACTGATTGATGAAGGCTTAGGAAGAATGAGCAGTTATGTATGTTATATCTCATACTTAATACATACTTTATACATAACAAGTCTAGAAATGTGGTATCCATTTCCATTTTAGCATAAAACGCTAATCCATCATTAATGTGTGATGACTAACTCAATTTTCTAAATTAGAAATACATAATTTCTATCTTAAATAGGAAAGCACGATGAATATCCATCGTGTAGTGGTAAAATATTTTAGGAATATCCATGTATGATACTTTGATAATATGCATATTTGAATTCTGCGGTGTTACTAACATATCATATATTCAAGTTAGTTTTAACAATTATAAACATAACAGCAACTAAAATTTTATATATATATGTATATATATATATATATATATATATATATATATATATAAGGGAGATAATTAAATTCATACAGTTATACTTTCCCCTGCGTGGGATCACTTAAGATACAAATGTGCAGATAAATTGATAGAAATGAGAGAATATATACACACATACCACCTCATCGATATGCCAGTCCAATTACGGCACAGCGCCTAGCAGAACAGTCATGAAAGCATAGCCACTGCTCATCCACCATCACAAAAAATGATGGTTTCAGAAACAGCTTTATATACAGTCACAAACTGCACTACACATTGAAACAAGCTCACATTTGTCATATATAGAGTTTTGTTCTCTGTTAACATATCTCACAAATCAACGATGACATTTTATTGTCTTCTTCACTTATTGGGACCAGAGAACTATATATCTATTTCCGAAAGTCAACTGGATCACGTAAGATCAAGTAGATCCGTAGGATACAATGAATTTAGACAGATAAAGTATATATAAAGGGAGATATTAAATTCAATACAGTTATACTTTCCCCTGCGTGGGATCACTTAAGATACAAGTGTGCAGATAAATTGATAGAAATGAGAGAATATATACACACATACCACCACATCGATATGCTAGGCGCTGTGCCGTAATTGGACTGGCATATCGATGTGGTGGTATGTGTGTATATATTCTCTCATTTCTATATATATATATATATATATATATATATATATATATATATATATATATATATATATATATATATATATATATATATATATATATATATATATATATATATATATATATATATATAAGTCCAATAACACTAAAAAGTCAGTACAAACCCTAGACAGAGTGCTCGATGGTATCCCAGAGCTGTATGTATGGATTTATATTCAATCAACACATTGAAAAACACATTTTCCTTTACTAATTAGTTTCATGCGCAAAACGCAATCTTCAGAAGTGTAAATGGTAGTTCTCAATAAAGGGACGTAACTATGAAGTGTAAATGGTGGTTTCTCAATAAAGGGGCGTAACTATATTAATACTGTTCATTTTTTAAAGTTGCTTAATAGATATTTCCTGGAATGTCTGCAGGTTGATACAAGTTCGTTTCTTTTGTTAAGTTTAGCGTTTTCTTGTTTGCAGATAATGTAGAATTTCTCCATAGGCACAAGTTGCATCGGTCGGAGGCTGGGTTGTAGGGTGAGGCTTGTTTTAAGATATTCCATGTTATGTTAAAAGTCGATGTTTTCTTCTTTGAGTTCCCAGATATATTTACTTAATTCAGTGCTGTTTTTAAGCTTAGGATTTCTAAATGATGCTTTGTGGTTTGTAAATCGGGTTTTAAAGGTATTTTCTGTTAATCCTACATAAGTTTGTTTAGGCTTGTCGTCGTTTGTTTCCACTGTAGCTCTATATACAACCGATTTCACCAAACATCGTCCTGACATGGGGCAATCTATTATTTTCCTACAATTGCATGTTTTAGGCTGATTTTTTTACTATTTCTTTGGAAAGAATAGCTTTGTTATGTCCGTCGATTATGTTTTTTATATTGTTCATGCAACTATAACTTAATTTGACTGTGTTTCTATTGAATATTTTGTGTAGCAAGTGTTCTTTGGGAAATTCTTCGTCTAGTATTTTCAGAAACGTTTTTCCAATGTTGGTTTCTACATTTTTACTATATGGTGGGTTATACCAGATTATATTTCTGCTTCTGTTTTTGCGATTCTTGGTACCGTTTTCAGTCTTTTCTTCATTTGAGTATTTAAGTTGGTGTTTATATCCACTATTTGTAATAGACCTTTGGGTAGATTGGTGTTGCTATGTCAAAAGATTCTTGGTCTTATGATATTTCGCATAGACGTTTGTTAATGCCTATGGGTATGTTCTTGATGATATTCGGTGGGTGGTTCGATTCGGTATGCACATATAACGGTGTGTTGTTCGGTTTGTTGTATGGAACATGTTTGCCATTCTTCAGGTTGAGTGTTGCGTCCAAAAAGTTCACGATTTTTTTGTTGGATTCAATTG